TTATTTTATAAAAGTGAAACTCTTTCAATTAAATTTTAGGAGAGTATATCATCAAACTTATCAATTTTCCTACATCAAATGATATATTTGTTATTGTATCTAATTTTAAAATTTGTAAACTATGTACAAAAGTCTCTGGCATTTCATTTAAGAAATTTTAAATTTAATTTAAATAAACACTTCCTTCACCCTATTTATATATATATATATGATTACTTTCATTTCGTCTTTGAAATATTTAAATGTTCTTAGTCTTATATTTTAAGTTAATAAAAAACATTTAAAAGTTTAAACATCCAATTCCACACAGGATGAAAAAAACTTTAGACAACTTAAGGAATATTTAATCTTAGGATTTTTATGAATTGACTCTAAGATATAGGCAGCAGCCAATTTTAATGCTTCTTTTCTATTTTACTTTGTAAAACTTTTTACAAATCTAAAACTTTCTATTTCTAATACAGAATTGTCTTTTGTAAATAAATAATCTAGAAAAAACTATTTCAAAACTTCAACATTCATATTATATTCAGGTTCAGAATCTAACATAACTAAATGTTTTAATGTTAACTTAAAATTTTGAAGATTCTTTTATTTTGTTTTTTTTACATTAAATTCTGATAAAAATTGATTTAGAGCTTTACAATATAATTCAGCTCTTCCAATATCTAAATTCTAAATAGCTAAATATTATTAAATAATAAATACTATGTGTTCTAACATTACTATGTTCAGAGAATATCATGACCTTTAACAAAATCTCTATTTAATCATATCTATTAAAGTTTTCTACTTTTGATAAATCTAATGATTATAAATTATGTTTGTATCTATATGTGCCTTAATTAATTATGAATTAATACCTAAAACTGCTTTTTCTTATTATTTTTATTATTAAAATTATTCATTCTATTTCTCGTAAGCCTATGTCAAAACAGATATTTTATACAAAGTACTATTATTCTCTGTAAGTGAATTATCTAAATTAATCGATTTACATTTCAAGAAAATATTATCAGCTAGTAATTAAAAGGCTTTTTCAAAAATATTTGAATTCTCAGATATATCTAAATGATTCACTCTAAAACTATCATATCTATCTCCAATAAGTGAATATATTGCATTTGTATTATGAAATAAAGGTTAATTTCTTAACTTTAATGAAATTAGTCCCTTTGCAGTAGCTAAATTCTAACAAAGTATGTTAAAGCTACTTTAAGTTCCCAAGAAATTATCTGATATATCCAATTATGAAATTTATTCCAACGTTTCTAAATTATAAGTACATTATATTAAATGTTCAAATCCCTTCCAATTAAGTTAATTAAAACAATTAGATAAATGGAAACTAAAATAAAAGGTTTAATCAATTTTTTTCATCGCTATCTCCTTTTCTTATCTAATTTTCTAGACTTACCATTATCTTGATATTTTTATTATTGCCAATGAATATTTTATTTTGTTCTTCAATAATAGATAATAGAAATCTGGATTTTATTCATATTTCTTAATTAAGTAATGTTTCAATTTTCTTAATAAAAATCCTTTATAAACACCAGGATTACTAATTATAAAGAGCTAAATTAGTTGATTAACGTATTACTTTATCTAGATTGATATTTCTTTCAAATAATTGAAAAATGAAATTTTCAACACTTTAATCATCTAATTCATTATGTTAGAATTCTATAATCAAATTCTTTGTTTTAACCCAACTAAACCATAAAGGTAAAATCATCAAATTATCTTCCTCAAGTTTTGTGTCTATAATTCTAATTTATTAAATTGAATAATCTCCTCTTAACCTTAATTCAATCATTTTCCAATGTTCCAATTTGAAATTACCCTTATATCCTTTAATAGTAATTTTTTTATCATAATGACAAGCTTAACATAATTACTATCTATATAAATCTACTATACTGATAATTCATCAAGCTAATCTTCAATACTTTTAGGTGGTTTGAATTTGAATTCTCCATTAGAGAACTTATTTATTTCTTTTTTCTCATGAACCTCCTTTTTAAAGCTAGTTATCCATGTTTTATGTTTTTTAATATCGTTGACATATACATTAGACTGCATGAAATAATATCAATTATTTTTAAATTGATTAAGAATATCAATTAGATCATGTCTAAATTGAGTATTTTAAGATTTCTTAGATATTCTTATAATTTAAATTATATTTATTGTATCTAAAAGACTATTTACTTTGAGTTAAAAAAATAAATCTTTAATATTAAGTGGTAAAAGAATTGAATTTTAATTAAAAATATCTTAGTGTTTCAGTCTCCTTAATTATAAATAATTTTATATTAATTTATGATACTATATATTTTAAGTACAAACAACTTATTTATAAGGTTATATAATATAATATCAAATATAATTCTATATATTCTGATAAATATAATCATAATTATAAAAAATCAATTTTACTCAATATAATTTTTCCGAACATTTCTAATAATTCCTAATCAAATGAACTAACCTTCTATGATCTAATTCCTTTATTATTTATAACTTATAAAATCACTGATTAATTTTTCCCTTCAATTTCAAAACAGTAGATTGGCATAGTAGTTTGAATATCAACTTAAATATAATATAATAAGTAAAAAACCTAAATTATTAAATGATTAATGATTATAGGCATTTTAAACCCATAAAAACTCTTTGACTTTATGTGCTTCACCTACAATTCCAATTCCTAATTATGATACTTCTAGTAATTTCTTTTCATTAACTCTTAATAATCGATTATTATTAACAACATAAACTAAACCTTTTTATGTATGAAATAAATTCTTTAATAAGTTTTCAGCTTCAAATAATATTTATTCTGCATCATTCATATATACTAATTATAATTAAGCCTAATATGAATAATAATATATTTATTACATGTATGATATTTCTTAATGCATTTTAAATACTAATAGATTCACTAGATTATTGATGATTTCTTAATAATATTGATATCATTTCTGATGTCTTGGAAATAAATAATTGATCATCATTATTAAAATGTCCAATTAATTTATTAACTCCCATAATAACTCCAATAGAATTTTATTATTTATCTAAAATTGGACATAATAATATAGTATTAGTTTTATATCCTTTATCATTTTCTTTTTTAAATCTAGGATCATTATATGCATTATGTATATTAATTAATCCTCTTTCTTAAAAACATGCTCCAATTATGTCTTCATTTGCTTAAATTCTCAATACTCTATCTTTAGTTTTAGTCCATAATTCTTAATGTTCATTGTCTAATACATATATTTAAACCTTATCACAATTTAATGAATCTCTTAATAATGCTTACAAACTTTCTAATTAATCATTTAATGGAATTTACTAATTAAATTTAAACAAATACTTCATATATCTATAAACAAGCATCAAATAGTTTATTTTATTTAATTACATTTTTAAACAATAGTTTATGTTCTTATAATACTAATTATATTGCATCAAAAATGTGAACTATATTACTTAATTCCATTTTCTATATGTTAGCAAAAAATTAATCTTCATTAGAAACTAAATTCTTAATTTATGTTAAATGATTTAATTCTTCATAACATTTTACATATTAACTTAACAAGGCTCAAATTAATTTATATATATATACCATAGTCAGAATCAAGAATAACAGAGAGATTCTCATCAAAATTAGTGTCTTTTGTTCTTGTCCTCAATGATTTCTTAGGACCTAAACTAGGAGTTCTTGATGAATCATCAGTCTTTACCATAAGTTTGAATGGATTCACAACCTCAACTATTTATTATTTTTCAACTCTTAATGCACTAATAATACAATCTCTTTTTTCTATTGCAATTTAAAGAGATTTAATCATGAATTCATATTGTTAAATTTATTTATCTTTTTAGATGACTGCTGAATTAAGTTATTAAACTTATTTCACTAATTTTTAAATCAATTCCTGCAACTCTTTTTCACTTTATTATTTTAGTTTAAGATTCATCACATCACTTAAATTAGGTAATTTTTGTTAGCTATTATTTCCTAATTTATCTATTGATCTATAATTTTAGGATGTTACAGGTCTTCGAATATTTTAGACTGAATTATTCATATATAATTAAAAATTATTTTCATGCATCATAAAATTCATCTTTACCTTCATCATAAACTTATTATGATTTTGAAAATCTCTTTAAGATATATGACACAAATGCTAAAAACAATATAGCAAATATGATGCCGTTAACCTAAATATTTCAAATTTAATTGTACCAATAAAAATGTCTCTAAAAAGAAATATAAAACTGGAGCTTCAGATTTACAATCATTAGATGCCATATACATACGTCCTCCATAAAATAATAACAATCCTATATATATCCCAAAACAAATATCAAGAAAATTAAAAAATAAGTTTATTGCTGCATTTTTATATCTAATTCAATTTATTAAATATTACATACCGTGGTATTAATGTAATTAATATATAAGTACCCCATATAATTAATCCATAGAATACTAAGTGAACAAACAATTACAAATTCTGATTGCATTTTTATTCAATAAATTAAGTCTCTATAATTCCAGATGCTGAAAGGAATATCAATGTATAAAAAAAATGAGCTCCTTCACTTGCTTTTAATTACTTCTTTGCTTCAATTTCTTGCATTTTTATTAATTTTATTTATTATATATAAAATTATACTTTTTAACGATGAATTTCTTAATTATAATTTATATTATAAAAAATTTCTAAAAAAATCAATATGAATTTTACATATTTATTGATTATTCTATTCATATAAATTTTAATATTTAATTTTTAGATAGTAAATCAATCTTATTATGAGTATTATATATATTAGATATATCCATATATTAAATAAATATATTCTTTTATATATATATAATTTGATCTATAAATTATACTTTTAAGGCGGTAAAATGTTCTAAATTAAGGTTCTAAATTATTTACATTAAAACACATTTATTTTCATAAATGGAATAGTTTACAGAAGAAGATGAAATACACTTAATGCCAATTAGAAAGAAACCAAAAATATAAGAGGTTAACAATAGTAATTTAAACTCAAAATAATAATATTGCTTAAAATAATCAATCATCAAGTCTAATCTAAAAAAAATTGATCTAAAAATTTAAGCATCTTTAATAGATTCACTTAAATTAACTGAAAACATTCAACCAGATTGTTAAGAATCAAGTTTAAATATTGATTTTAATGAATGGTAGCATTAAAACTTTGTTTTTAAATTGAAGCAATAATCTCATAATTCTGATATTGAAAATGACTATAAAATTATTCAATATTTTAGTGACTTTAATTAAAAATGGAATATATATCCATATAAACATTTTGTTGATTTAAAACCTGAAACAGATTATATTATTATGAAATAACCATTGTATGAATCAAAAATAATAAATAAAGTTAATTAAAAATAAAATTAAATAAAAGTAATACCTTTATAATAGACTGATAAATTGATGTTTTAATGAATAAATTACTTTTATATTTTTAATATATATATATATCATTTATTTTTTCTTAATTTATTTGGACCAGATCTTTTATTTTTAGTTTAATTCTATTATTTCTATAATAGATTATTTATTATACTTCTAGTTTTTCTAATGCTTTTTTTTTAAATTCTTCTACTGATAAAATTTTATCTCCTTCTATATCATCTTCTTCATGTTCATCTAATATAAATGAAATAAGAATACCAAATTATGGTAATTCAGCTCTATTTTTATTTTATAAATTTTTCTCATTCATAGCTGCTAATTATTATAAAGAGTTAATTTAATTTTCTGATATTTTTTGATGAATTTACTAATAGTATTGCAATAATTTATTTGTTTTATTTTCTATTAAACCTAAATATATCATCATATTAGTGTCAGTAACTCCATGAGATCCAGCAATTTCAGTTGCCATTTATTTATCACATTCAACAGTATTAAATAATGTTTCAATCCAATTCTATTATTCAAATTAATACTCATACAGTTAAACTATTAATTAATTTTAATGATTCATTGTATTTAAATTCATATTATTCTGATTTTGATTCAGCTCTAGATAATTTTTCTTCTAAATCTTTTAAATGTCTTTTTCTTTATACATCTACATTTGATCCTTATCCTTCATATTAAGATGCTTCTTCTTTTAATTCTCCTATTTATTTTTCAAGATCTTCAATTTCATTACTCAATTCATTGACATATTTAAACATTTGAAAATTCTAATAACATCAATAAATTTTTAATATACCTTTTCTTCATTTTAAATGAAAATTTTGATTAATTCATCAAAAACCTTAATTTAAGTTGCAGCTTATATTTTAGCAAAATCTTCTTCATATTTCATAATTTATTCAACAATAGTTTAATTTACTGTTTTATCTCTAGTTAATTTGGTAGTTTTTGGTTTAGTTAATTTTTCAGGATCAACTACTTCTTGAGTATCCATTTCTCTATTCTTTTCTGTTAATTTCATATAATCTAAAGTTTTCTTATTTTTTTCCATAATTTAACTTAATTCTCTTAAATCTTTTTCAAAATCAGCAGATTCTCTTTTTGCTTATTATTTCAAACTTTAAATTAAATCATTAGCTTTATCTCTTTCTTCATATGCTGTATTAGCAGTCTCTATAATATCTGCCATTTCCTAATAATAATAGATCTAAAATTATTACTTTTCTTTTTTCATGCAATTCTTTCTCTAATTTTTTATATAAATTATCAAAAATAACACGTTCTCTTCTTAAACTATCAATCTATTATCTTAATTATTTATTAATAGCTATAGCTTCATTAAATTTTTGATTTGTTTTGTCTAATCTATTTTCCAAAATCTTTATTTATTTTTATAATGCACTTTCATTTTCTGCTCCTGCATTATAACCACCAAGAGCATGTCTTTTTTCTATTATCTTTTTTTAAAAATCAGCAACATGAGTATCAATTTCTTCTTATTATTTCTTTTCTTCATTTATTGCTACTTTCAAATCATCAATAATAGTATCAATATTAGGTCCTTTAGAATATGTTGTTTAATTTAATTAAAGTTTTTAAGAATTCATTTTAGCTATCAAATCCTTTAAAATATAATTCTCATTCTTTAGTTTGTCAATAATTCCTCGTTATTTTTTAATGTTTGCAACTGTTTCTTCAGCATATGCCTTCCTATCAGATTCCAAGTTTCTAAATTTCTTCTATTATTCTAAGAGATGTTCTTAAGAAGTCATTTCCTTATCAGCCATCTAATTATCTATTCCTTGATTTTAGTCCTATTACATTCCAAATAAATAATTTAAATTCTAAATAAAAAAAAAAAATGAATTATTTTAACAAATAACAATTAATAAAACTCATTTCACATTTATTAAATAACTCTTTACCATGATTCTTAATATATTAAAAAAATTGTATAAGTAATTTAAGTAGATATCCAAACATTATAGTAATAAATTCATTTGATTATTTATATACATTCATTACTTTAATTAATAATATATTTAGGAGCTTAGTTTATGATTTAATATATATCATTTTGAATAGCTTAATTTTATTAAAGGTCTTTGATAAATTGAATTAATTAATACTAATTTAAATTATATTTATTTTCATGATTAATCACTTCTTGCATTAATGGCAACATAATATAGGAGATCCTATTGAATATGAAGAAATCAAAAGATATGATGATGGAAGAAGAGTAAATTTTGTATATGATTACGATAGAGATATGATAAAACATTAAGGGAAAAGGGTGGAATTGAGTACTATTTAGTATCAAAAAAATTTATTAAATAATGGAAATATTATGTGGATTATTATGAAGAAATGCGAGAACAATAAAAGGAGACAAGGAAGAAAGTTTTGAAATTTAAATATATTAGCCTGATAAAATAAATTCAGATTTGTAATGTAATGAAAAGGTTTTTAAATATATACCTGAAGATCATGTTTATAATTCCAGCATTCGTTATTTGGAAAATGAATGGGATTATGAATACGTAAAAATTAACATCAAAAAAATTAGATTCTTAAAGATGTTTTTGATTTATTTAAAGAGAAATATTCATCAATTGAACCATAAAAAAGAATTGGATACTATTTTGAGAATGAAAAAAAAAAAGTTGTATATCCTAATTTAGCTAGAGTAATACAATTATATTAATTTTAGTTTACATTGATCTATTAGTCTTTAAGAGATAATAAATTTTATAATGTCAAAGCATAAGTAGACTAACATTCTGAAATAAAAGCTTGGTTAGATTTATTAAAAGAGACATTCTAAGCTGAATATAAATAAAAACAAATTAACAATATTAGAATTTGGTTACCAAGACATAAAAATTTTAAAGTTGATCTAATAATGGAATAGATAGAAAAAACTATGTTTATTGATGGAGATGTTATATAAGAAAATCTAATGGTTTATTAATTGTAATCAAATAGAGATAATTGTTTAATTTTGGATTTTGAATCAACTCAATGGTAATTTAATAAAATGGATAATTAATAATAATTTGAATTTGATATTGAACTCTTGTTTAATAGAGCCTCTTAAGGTTGTAATAAATATGTATGTGATTTTCCATTATGCAAATTAAATAATGGTTTTTTTGAACAAGATTTTAGTTAAGACGATATCAAAGGAATTTGTTAATAATTTGTTGAAAATGAAGAAGTTAATTGGGATTAATTATGTTATCCAATAAAAAGTATTAATGATAAATTGGTTCCATTTTAAACTTCAGAATTTTAAATAGATTTGAGTGAAGCCACTGTTAAAATATCATAATAATTGGAATTATTTGGAGCATCATTTGTTGAAAACTTTTAGAATAAATCTGGAATATATTAAATTGATCCTTAAAATGCAGATGTTGATACTAACTTAATTATTGAGACATAAAAAAGATTTATCAAATACAAAGGAGAATTCAGTGTAATAATAAATAACTTATTTTCTTATAAAGAAAAATGTTTAGAATCATTAACTAATTTATATTAATTAAGAGCACTTTATTTAATATTATAATTTCGTAAATTCTTGGAATTTATTATAGATGAAAAATCATAAATAATTTTAAAAATTATAAGAAGATTAGATAAATAATAAAAATAATAATTATCTAGATGGTTTACAAATCTTTCAAAAACAGAATTTGAAGAAACAACAAAAATTGTTAAAAAATTAATTAATTCAGAAATTTTAAGATAATAACACACTCCTTTAATGCCATTTCTAGAAATAGAAGACATATAAAAAATGGTAGGTTTATTTGAATTATTTTAAATTCTTTAAATATCAAATAAAATGAATACTAGATTATAATCTTCAGATTTCGTAATTGATTTAATAACAAAATTGTATAAATAAGATGCAGATAAAGAAGAATTTTCATAATTTCGTTATTATGCAGCTAAATAATGGAGAAACTATTCATTTACTTTTTGTCTATATTCTTGGTCTATCCCTATAGAATTTAAATCAAAATTATTGAGTTTGGATTGTAAAGTTAAATAACATGATAGTATGAGTCATTCTGTAAAATATCATTTTACTGGATAAGCTCCATATTTAAATTTATCTATTGATAGAAATAATATTATAGAATCAGCTATAAAATAATTATAAATAACTCATATACCACTTAAGAATCCTTTAAAAGTATAATTTATAGGAGAATAAGGTGTAGATGAAGGAGGTCCAAAAAGAGAATTTTTCAGATTGATGATGGAGAAATTGATTTCACCAGATTATGGTATGTTTATACCTAAAAATAATGGAACTATATATTGGTTTAATCCGAAATCCTTTGAAATTCCAATATTTTATTCATTAATAGGAAAGTTATTAGGATTGGCTTTGTATAATTAAGTATTATTGGATGTACGATTCCCAACTGTTTTATTTAAGAAATTATAGAATGAAAAAGTTACTGAAGAGGATTTAAAAGAATTAGATATGGAAATATATACAGGATTTTAGTATTTGAGAGAATAGAGTGATTCTAATCTAATATAAAGTTTGGCATTAAATTTTAATGCAAGTTATGTTGTATGGGGAGAAGCATACTTTGATGATTTAAAAGTATATACTATTTATATATGTACAGCCTAATGGATTTTAAATTAATGTCACCAAAGAAAATAGAGAAGAATATATATAATTGTATACTGATTGGTACTTAAATAAACTTGTGAAAAACTAGTTTGATTTATTATATTCAGGATTTAAATCTGTAGTTGATGGAGATGGTATTAAGGTAGTTTATATAATAAAGAATTAGTTATTTTCAGGAGAAGAATTATAGGCCCTCATTATTGGTTTACCACACTTTGATTTAAAAGATTTAGAATTAGTTACAAAATATGATGGATATGATGATAAATCTGAATATATTAGGTATATATATATAATTATTAATAGATACTTTTGGAGTTGTATACATTCATTGAGTATTGAAATGTAAAAGAGATTTTTATTTTTTTGTACTGGTACAGATAGAATTCCTGTTGGAGGACTTAAATCAATAAAATTTGTTATATAGAAGCATGGTGAAGGTAAGATTTAAATTATAATATTAGATACTGAATAATTGCCATCAGCTCACACTTGTTTCAATGTTTTATTATTACCTTTTTATAAGAAGAAAGAAATATTGAAAGATAAATTAATGATTTCTTTAGATAATGCAGAAGGCTTTGGATTAATGTGAATTATAAATATAATTATGATTATAATAAATAAATAATAGTATACTTTTTAAATTACTATTTTGATTTAAGTGGATAAATTAATCAAATTAACTAATTATTAATTGTAGATATAATTTTACTTTATTCTTAAAAGATAGAATCTGGATTTATTTCTTTATATTTTTCAAATGGAATTTTTTCTTAATAATTTAATACTTTGGTAATATCTGCTTTTAAGTCCCTTAACTACTATATATCATTACTCCTATATGTTTTGATCTAAAAGAGACCTAAGTAAATCAAATATGCTTTGTGGTTAAATTTTTATATATTAACTCTATTCTAAAATTTTAGTAATCTCTTTTATAAAGGGGTTTTTATTGTAACTCATATATAATTTTAATCTAAATTATTCTCTTAAATTAAATATTTTTTTCTTTAATTAAAAATAAGCTTATTTTATTCTTTTTGTTAATTATTCGTATTATGGATATATATTTATATTTTAAGCACATTATTATAGAATCCTCATTATATTTGTAATATCCTTATTCTATTTGTAAGATATATGTATATCTGATAATATAATATGGATAAATCCTATACAATATAAAAGTTCCTAATCTCCTAACAATTATAAACAAAATACTGCACTCAATATTAAAATTTAATTTTAGTTTTCATACTTTTCACAAATGGAATTATAAAGTAAATATTTTCTAAATTGAACTTATTGTATTTTATAAATTTCATATTCCTCTAAATTAATAATTGGATGTAGAAAAAATTGATCAAATGAAATTCTTTCTTCTTCTTCATAAACAATCATTTTTTACAATAAATCAGCTATTTCTTTTGCACGAGGATAATTTGGAAGTTCACATTTGAACTATTTATTATAAAGTTATTTCATGAATTCATTAATTTCTTTTTTTCCATTTTAGATTAAATTAAATGGCAATTTTCCATTAAAAAATAACTAATAGAATAATATTCCATAAGAAAATATATCACATTTTCCTGAATATTTTAGGTTATAAAATATTTATGGAGATTCATAACAAGGTGTTCCAACATTTGTAATTTTAGCAGGATCAAGAAAATCAACTAATATTCTACTAAAATCAAAATCTGAAATCTAATTTTAATTTATTGACATTTACTTTATATAATTTCCTTTCATTAATCTATCCTTTATTTTCCAATTTAACTAAAATATTAGATGGTTTAATATCTCTATGTACAATATTATGTTCATATAAAATACGACATCCTACTGATATTTAATTAATAATATTTAAACAATCATTTAAATCATACCATTATTATTTATTTTGTAAATTTCTGAATTCTTAATCTAAATCCATATCACATCTTTCCATAATAACTTCAAAATAATGAGGTGTATTTATTATATTTTCTGTACGTAATAGTTTATCAGTTTTAAGATTCATTATTAATTTTTATATTTCTATTTCTTATTTTAATTGTTTCATTTAGTTTCTATCCTTTTTGATTATCTTTATACATAATGAATCATTATCTGAACCATCTTTTCTTTTACATTTATAAACTGATCCAAATCCACCCTAACCTATTAAATTTTTAGTGGATGTATCTATTATGTATTATTCCCTTATTTCTTATTATCCAGACATACTTAAATTTTTATTATAAATTAATTTTTATTTATCATTCTTTTGTATAATAAATCATTATTTAAATCCATCGATATGCCATTTATTTCTATCTTCAATTGATGGATGAGTTCTAACAGGGAATTCTTTTCCATTTGCTTCATCTTAAACTGCAAATAAAAATTAATCAGGATTAGTAGCAGATTTTATTGTATATAAATTATTACCTACTTATTCAATTATCCATTAATTTCTTGGTTCATTGAATGAATGTAATCTAACATCAAAATCACCCCATTGATTATACTATTTATCATTAGCTGCAAAAAGCATTTGAAGTGGATTAGAAGTAGATCTAATTATATATTTATTATCATGAACTTATTCTAAATAAAATGAAGTTGTCATATTCTTAACACCTGTGATCTTAGCTGCATAATCTGATTTAAATTAAGGATGAGAATCACAAATGGTTAAATAATTTGTGTTAATGTGAGCAGGTCTAAATTAAACAATTGTATAATTTTATAGACTACTATATGGATGTATAATATTTGGAATTGTAACAATAAACCAAAGATTTTTTTCTTAATCTTTATTTGAATGTGTTCTTACATCAAATTCACCATCATGTTGATTTGAAAAATCATCAGCTATAAATAAATATTAATCAGGATTTGTCTCTGATCTAATTGTAAAACAACTCCATCCTGCATTTTCAATAATCCAATTATTTCTTTATTCATCAAATGCATGTGTTCTTACATCAAATTAATCCTTAAATTTTCTAGTATTATCATTTGAACAAAAAACAAAATGATTAGGATGTTTAAGTAATCGTATTTTGAATACATTCTCATTAATTTTCTCTAATAAGAAATAGCAATGTTCTTAATTTTTATTAGTCACTCTAACATCGAAATCATTCTCTAATGCTCTTGATTTATTTGTTGCTGCTGAAAGAAACCTTGTAGGTACAGAGAGAGGAACAAAAGAAACAATTAGATATCCTGATTAATTTGACATTATTAATAAAATCAATATTAATTAAAATATATATCATTATTTCTTATGCTAATAAATAATATGGAATACACAAATCCTATCATTCTTCATTACTATTTAACAAATTATTACTCATTTTCTAAGATTATATAAAAATTAAGATTTTATATTAGTATAATTAATATTAATTAATAATCTAATATATTTATATTTACAACTTTAATTATTCATATATCTTTAATTCATTTTATTATTATATATTGAAACATCATAATTCTTATAATATATCTCCAAAAGTTTAGATATTATTACTAAATAATCTAGAGCATATTAAATCAAAGATACATTAGATTATTGTCTTTGATTATTATTATCAAAGAGTAATATTAAAATTTAATCAAGGATATAACCATTTTTTAAAGAAGATATAGCTTTTCGAATATCTATTTCATATCTAAATAAAAATAATATTATGATATATAATATATATTCATAAAAAAAATATTATAAAAATAATTTTCCTAATTATAAATACGAGTTAGATCTATTTTTAATTTAAATAATAAAAAATATGGATTCATAATATCATATAAAGAATATTTTAAGTTAAATATATATAAAAAAATAATAAAAATTGATTTATAGATGATTATTGTAATTTGTTTATAAGGAATTTTGAGTAGTAAAATAGAAAATATTAATTATCAAATTAAAACACCTTCATACCAATTTCCGACTACAATTTGATCTCCATAAAATCGTCCTTTTCCATGAATCATACCGTTAATAAAATGGCCTTCAAATTTCTGACCATTTTTAAGTGTTAATATACCTTCACCATGCATTTTATTTTATTTAAAATAACCTTTATAATCATGCCAACCATCTTCAATTGTGTTTAAATCTTTTGGATCAATTTTATGTTTAATAACATGTGGAGATTGATTAATCAATATACCAAATCCTTCATATAAATTATTAAACCATTCTCCAGAATAGACTTCTTGATTTTCTGTATTGAATAATACACCCATACCATGTCTTTATGAAGGTGGAATTCCTTAACCCCTATAAATACATCCATCTTCATATTTGAGATATAACTCTATAATAGTAGAGTAGAAATACCTTCTAATCGTTGTTTATAATGAGTATTACGAGTTCGTTGACCCACTTCTAATATGGCACTTGCTTTCATGATATCTTAATTATATGGTATTTGGATGGATTCTCTCATTTGTTTGATTGAAGTTGGAATGACCTAATAATAATAAGTATGGAATATTTTACAGACATTCTTGGTGATATAATGTATGGATTGCAACATTGTTATTGTTGATTAGGTTAAACATAATGAATACGAGAGTAATAATTATAATACATAAAATAAAAATAAGAAGTTTTAAATGAGATGAAATAGATTGATTGATAAAATTATGAAAATGGGAAATAAATAATAATATAAATTGTAAAATAATTTAAGGATTTATTTGGATGTAAATACACAGTCTTATGAAAATATGTTTAGAATATTATGAGTGAATATCCAAAACGAATATTAGGTAAGAGAGCTAAAACTCCAAATATTATATTTTATTTGATTGAATTTGAGACTCCTACTCATAAAGTGAGAACTTAATGGATAGAAATGTATAAATTAGGCAATTACTTAGATTTGATTGAATAATATGAAGCAAGAAATAATTAGAATTATTATATGGAATTATTAAAGGAAATAATTGAAGATGATGATTAATATGAATAGATAAGAGAATTAGATTCATTAAAAATAACAGAAGATTAGATATGTAGATAAACAACAACTGATTTTATGATTCCATAAAGAGAAAATTAAGAATTTGTATATCATTTAAAGAAAGAAAATAATTAATAAGTAGAATTGAATAAAGAATTGAAAAATATTACAAAATCATTTTAAAAAGGAGGGAGTAGAGTTGCATTTACTGAAGAATAAATAGTAAAAATAATAACTTATGCTAAAGATGAATTGGATAATAATAAATATATATTTTTGGTAGAATGGAAACCAAGAGAAAGTGGACATTTTATAAGACCATCATGGGTTGGATAAGAGAAGATGATGCAATATGCACCATAATATTTAGAACGTTTTGCAAATGAAAAAGGTTTCAAATTAAATTGAAGTTTTTTATTCATTAAATATATATATATATTTTAATTGACTTATTTATGTCTCGAGATCCTTAATTGGAATTATTGAATATAGAACCAACTTTAAGAGAATTTATACAAATGCCATTGACAAATAAATTCTTTTAATAAATAGATACAAATTTTATTGCAGAACCTTGGGATGTACCTATAGGTCCTGCAAAAACAAGTTAATAAAAAAAAAGAATTATTACATTTAAATAACCAATATTGAAATTATAAGTACGTTAATCAACTACTGAAACTCCTACTAATATTTCAAGACCTAAAAGTTGTCATCATAAAAGTACATTTATAGAATAAGGAATACCAAATCCTCAACCAAATTATCCTAAAGTCCTTTAAAGAATCATCATTTCAACATAAAATAAATCATCTCGTAAAAACTCAACAAGTTAATATAGATAGAAATGTCTAAAGAATATTCTATTTGCTTAGAAATCAAATAGTCAATTGTGCAATTATACACATACATCAACTGATTATTTTAATTTCTTATCTTCAATAAATCCAGTTTCTCAAAAAAATAAAACAACCACAGAACCTTTATTAAAAAAATTCAAACTTAAACTAAAAAATATGCTTAATTGATAAATTATGGTATCATTATTATACTAGTTATTATGTTATCTTATTAACTATAGTTTTTGGATCATATGTTAATATTTGACAATAAAGTTATTTATTCACTGTGGTGTTTCCTCTTATCTGAAATACTTTCAAAGATGAAATATTAAAATTCTATTTTTTTAATGTCATTAAATATCCTATTGCTACAACATTTGTTATTGAATAACCATCCTATAATTAAATATATCATAATTACTGGACAACACAATAATATAGGTGTATTTTAAGATTCAATTAAATCAGTAATTTGATAAAAATCTATTAATTATTCTCCTCCCTCACTTATAGGATAATTAATATAATTATATTATTCTTTTTTCCAAACAGAAAATTTAGCATCTGGTTCATATGTCTTAAAATCTATAATTGTTTTTATTTATAAAGCATCCAATTACTTTTTACTATTAGCATTCAAATTACTTCCTAAATAGAGTTTGTTTTCTTAAAGTTATTAAGGGAATTGGGAATAAGCAAACAATAATTTTTATTAATCCTCATTATTATCCAAATTTTCATAATTTTATAATATCGCTTTGGATAAAGTATAGAAAGGATATTTATCTAAGAATGTTTCCACAGAAGTTTTCAAATAATATACTTTATATTCATTCATTTTCAAACTTTGAATTAGATCTTTGATCAATTAAGTATCTTATTCAATCTTCATATAATCATCATTAACAATAACAATTCTACGAATAGGTTAAGTATGATATTTCTCTTCATTTTTCTGAGCATTACTATTTTGTTTCTCAATATGAGATACAATAATCTACACATTATCTTAAATACAAAAACTTCCTCTTATTTATTTTTATTCAAATAATTCTAACTTTCTTAAATCGGCAATCAATAAATGTCTATAATCCTAAATATCTTTATGAATAATTTAACATTCATCATATTATACAACTCCATCATTTAAATTGCTTTCATATTGGGATTAATTAAAATTTAATTTATATAAATTTGTTTGTTAATCCACTTAACAATAACTTAATTTATATATTTTGAATTTCTATTATTTTATTGAAATCACCAGAAGATTTATTTAATTTCTTTGTTTTCTTAGATTTATTTCTTATATAAAACAATATCATAACTTGTAAAATTAGAAAAAAGTACTAATTATTATTAATATTTAATGTAAGAATAAGAATTTGATCTTACAAAAATCAACTAGGGAAATGTGGATATGATGATCTAGCAAATAGAAACCAGTATTTAATAGAGATTGTAAAAGTATGGTGAGGATGATTAAAAAGTATATCATAAATATATAACTTCTCTAGAAATTGAAATATGATAGAATTTTATGTAAATTACTAAACTAGCAGGCATTGATAGCACTTTAAATAGAGAATTTTGAGTCTAGTTTAAAATACCTTAAAAAGGCTGAACTTTTAACATCTTCTGTTCCAGAGCTTAAAGTTTCAATTTAGTTATAAAAATAGGCTCAAACATTTAGTAATTTAGCATGTTATTATCGAAAAATAGGAAAAACAAGAATAGCTCTATCATATCTTCAGTAAGCTTTAGCCATTGAATTGAAGTAAGTTAATTCTAATATTTTATAAGAAATGAAAAATCTACATAGATTCCTGAACTTTATCTGAATCTTTGTGCGGTTCTCTCTTCATTAGAAAGACATGAAGAGGCTACATAACATATTTATTTATCAATTATTATGTTACAACATGAATTATTACTATAATTCTTGAAATAAAACTAATAAATAGATATAGAATTAATTAAAAAACAAAATTCAATTGAATTAGCAACTCAATAAGTTAATAGTTAATAAAAAAATAGACAATTTGATTAAAATAATCTTAATAAGAATTAATAAGAAAGAATATAAATTTTGATTGTTGCTTATCATAATTTGGGTGTTGAAATGGAACATTTAAAATAAAGAATTGAATCCAAAAATATTATAAATTCTGCTTATCAATTATCATAATTCAGTCTTCCACTTAATCATCCATTAAGATAGACTTTAGGATCCATTATTAAAAAGAATGAGAAAGTTGATTCAATAGATAATTTTCAACCTGTTACTTTAAAACCAATTTTACCAAAATTGAATCTAAAATTTTAAGATTTCAAATAGATTTAAAAAAATGGTTCTCCTCATTAAATTTAAACTAATAAACATTATTCCTTACCTAAAAATAAAAGTAATAAAGGATCAAAAGAAGATAAAAGAAATGGTTCAAGTTTAACAACAAGAATAGAAGGGTCTAAATTTGTAAGGATAAATGATTAAAATCATGAAGTTATAATTAGTTTAGAAAATAATGATGTTATAAATCTTAGAGATTTATAAATAACTTTGGATACAGTTAATTAAACTACAATTATGTGATTATTAATTTTATATACTTGATTATATATATCAACCTTTTTACATTGTTACTATGTCAACACTAGAAACTTCATCTTCCCAAGCTGTTATTTAATCAAATATATCTTCAGTAAAAATCTAAAAGAATGATGATTTAATGAAGTACCTTATCTTCAATGACCATTGACATAACAATCTTCTTGGCTCCATATGCAATTTCTTCATAATTGACATCCTTTCCCCAAACTAATCCATCTGGATTGATAGTATCCTTGATTCTTTTGGCTATTTATTCTAATAAGGCTTAATCTGTGGCTTCAAATATTTTAACTTCAAAGATCACTATAGTCTTGCCAACTAAATTTTTTTTGTTTTTCTTGGCTAAGCCTTCTTATTATTTTTGTTCAGCCAAAGCTTTAGCATTCTTTTCTATTTCAGGATCATCATCATTTCCAAAGAGATCGATATCTTCATCAACAGTTTTCTTTGGTTTTTATTTCTTTGGTACTTCCTTCTTTGGTTCTTATTTCTTTGGTTCTTATCTCTTTGGTGCAGCTACTGTAATCCATTAAGCTCTAATAGCAGGAGTAAAAGAGTTGAGTAGTAGATACCAGAAATAAATTTCTGGAAATTGATTTTTGGGTGGAACACCTTTCAAAGCATTGAAGATTCTAACATCATCAGCTCCTGGAAGATCTCCATTCAAATAATTAGTGTTTGCAAGGTATTCATTAATATATGCAAGATTCTCAATTGTGAAATGTGCCATTTAAAAAAGAATTAAATGTCTTCATTTAAATTTTTTGTATAAATAGGAAAGAATATTATAAAAAATTCTTTCATTATAAATTTATCATATTAAGTATATATATATAAATTACAATAAAATATATTAAGTAATTAAAAAATTTGAATTATTAAGAAAATAAATTAATTGAATTAAAATATTATCATGAAAAGTAAGTTGTTAAAGTATTACATAAGTTATTAAAATCTAGCATTGATGATCTTAAAGTATCCAAAGTATTGCAATCATTTTTAGATTCCTTTTTTTATTGATCTTTGAGTAATTAAGACATATATTTAATTACTTATTATAAATCTTCTCCTTCAATTCTTTTTATACTATTAAAATTACTTTTTTATTTATTTAGATTTCATTTCATTTTATTACTCCCTCAAAACGACTTCTTTATTGTAATCATTAGTTTTATTTTTATTTTATTAACTAGAATTGGGATCTAATTATAAATTTAATATACTCTGCTTAAAGGAATCATTAATACCAATATTAAAATTAATTTCATCTGTAAATATTTGTTAATTTTAATTTCGAAAAGAATTATTTTTAAAAGTAGGACAATCTATATTTTTTTATTCTTAACTAAATGAAAATGTTGGTTATAGTTTTTTATTGCAATTACAATTATTGAATTAAACTTAATTCTGTTACTCTTCTTAATCAAATTATTGTAATTAATATTCAATTACTGAATCACTAAATTCATCACATTCTGTAATTATTTGCTAATCTTATTATCTAGAATCAATAAATAAACTTTCAACTAATTAATGTACATCCAATGTGTTTTCAGTATCTAGTCTCTTTACTAAATTAACCTGTTTATCGAATATTTAATTATTGCCATTACTATATATTAATCATAATAAATACTTATTTTAAAATGTATCATCTGTAATCTAAATATTTTATTCTACTTAAATAACAAGTTCTTCCAATAAATCTTTAATTGTTAAATAACAAGCAGTCTTTTCTTGTATTTCTTTTTATTAAATTTGATTTTGTAATTTTTCAATATAATCTTCAAGTTATTGAATTCTCATTTACATTTCAATGACAATTTAACCTTCATTCTATCCTGATACTGTCATAGATTTCTTTAATTCAATATCAAAGTTTTATTCATTAGATTATAATTAAGTATTTAAAAAATCAATTTTTAATGTTTTATTTAATTACATACTACTATTTT